CGTGGCGATGTTATCGTTGACAGGATCGTTTCACTTTTAGCTGAGCTCAACAAAAATAATTTATATTGACCGTTTTAATTATTTATTATATTTTATTCTTACCTATTTTTATTTTATTTTATGGTTTTTTTATAGTTATGGCTACTTCCTAGTATTAATTTGAATTTCTTAATATTAGTCGGATAACGGTCTTGTCTATAATACTGCGAATAACATTCATGTCATTTTATTAAGGTCTTTAATTAATTGTTTTACTTGTAATGCGCTCGTTTTGTAAACCTTGAGTTTTTTTATATCACTGAAGAGGGTTCATGATTGAGCCGAAACGTTTGATTATTTATATTGAGTATTCATGTTCAATAAATATTGCTCTATTTCCTAATACAAGGAAGGTTTTACCCATATGGTACATAGCACTATTAATCCTGTGCTTGAACTTGAATTAGCCCTTTTTTCCTATTATTTAATTGATATCATTATTATTGAGTTCTTATTTTTCTTTCTCTTAATCAGTTATATAAGATCGTGTAATCGTAAGTGACTGTACTCTAGACTGTAGTTATCTCAATAATAATGATATCAATTAAATAATAGGAAAAAAGGACTAATTCAAGTTCAAGCACAGGATTAATAGTGCTATGTACCATATGGGTAAAACCTTCCTTGTGTTAGGAAATAGAGCAATATTTATTGAACATGAATACTCAATATAAATAATCAAACGTTTCGGCTCAATCATGAACCCTCTTCAGTAATATAAAAAAACTCAAGGTTTACAAAACGAGCGCATTACAAGTAAAACAATTAATTAAAGACCTTAATAAAAGTTATTGTGACTGTACTCTATTATAGAGAGTACAGTCACAATAATATATTATCGCTTACTTGAAAATCCCAGAGAGTCGTGCTTTCTCGAAGACGAAGAATGACAGTGTAGACTAAATCTGTGTTGCCACTTTCCACAGCTTTATGTAGGGCAACTCGTTCCTCGCCGAGCGCCATCAGTAAAGGTATTTGTTGATGCGCACGTGGTTCATAGTCGATCAACTAAAGAGTGATGATTGTCCAATGTATAAATTGATACAAAGTGCAATTTGTTGTCACAGTGTTTGATATTCACGCGGATTAATAGACAGTTGTACCTTAATAGCCAGCTGCTTTTGACCGCAATCAGCCGCTCTCTTCGCAATTTCACTATACGAAACACCGGGAGCGTATCCTAACTTATCAGCTATCTCCTCTGCTAATTGTTCCTTGTCCAATTGCGTCTGTTTTACCTATAATATATAACAAAAGAAAACTATATTAATTTTTGACGAATTTCAAGCAATCTTAATTCTTCGTCTCAGATACTATTTGGTTTACCTTGTAGCAAGCCCAATGCGCCAATATTCTACTTTCTCCGTCAATCTCGGGTAATTGTAGATGCCGTGCTATCAGTATACTTAAATAATAGTGTCTACGTGCTACTAGCCTGTCCAGTAGCACTTGATTTGTCAAAACATTGTATCTAACATCAATAAGGACTCTAATTAGAAGAACACTTTAATACAGAATACGAAGAATCTTTGGATGTCTAATATCGCAACTAAACATATAAAAGGATACTGCGTGTACGTTAATGGAATTCCTACAGCAGGATGCCTCACCGCGTTCAAGACTCTCAGAGTTCTACACATTTGAACGTAATATTCCGAGTCTATCGATTTGCTGAATCCTTTCCCGAATTTAGCAGCCTGACGAACTCGATGATCATTATTCATAATCTTAACACTCTGATAAACACACAAGTCCATTAAACTTACCCTCATCAGAAGTTTCTGCGTTTCAAAATCGAATTCGTGACTCGCCCCATCGATACACGCTTTCACCGCTGCGTCCAATTTGTCCTTTACTAAATCGATATAACTATCGGCCTTATGACTTTTCCTCTGAAACTGCTTAGAGGCTTCCAGAAGATAAGAGGCGGGATCCGTCGAGTTGATTCTAAATATCCTTTGCACGACGTTCGGCACTTTTTGTACCATTTCATGAGAGAAGGCGGATAACACGCGTACTCCATCGATCTCCGTCACCAGATGCACTGGGCCGTCGTAATTGTACACTATGGTCTCAGCCGTACGACCTACTACCATTATCGTGGTGTTCCAGCTGCACACCACGGCTTCCGTACCGCACCTGCAAACGTGAGTGACGCGTTCTGTAATTTTTACATTCATTTCTCAAACTTATATCTTGATATCTTTAAAATAATTATATATAATTATGTTTACACTAACCAAGCTATATTAGTTAAGGTTTCATTCACGTTTGTAAAGCATTCGCAGTACTTCTCTCGGAAGTCTATCGAGCCGATGTACAAATATCCAGTGTCAGCATAAAGCGCGATGTGTCGATTATTGCCGGATACAGCTATGGCCAGTATGTTGTTGATCTTGTTGTTGAAAAGATTACTCTGAAAGCAAAATAAAATAGATTATTAAAACTTATAGCTCTTCGCTGTAGAACTCTCGATTGATGACGTCAGAGGTGAGAAAATACACAAAATTCTTGCAAAATATGTTGAAATAAACATATTACGCTTGAAATGGATCGAGTACATTTATAAAGTTCGAAAGTTTTTAAAAATCAATACCATATCAACTTTAAAAATCAATTAGTATAAAGTTGACATTACATATAATCTTTTCAATCTACATTTTCTCATGACTTAAATAATTTATTAAATTAATGCAAAAAATTTGCCGTTTTTTTACTGAATTCTTGTAATAAGTTTGAATATTAAAAGAGAAAAACAGGAAATCCACGTTAGATGTCTAAAGTAATACAGAATCTGTTTTACTCATTCAATTTGTAAAAATTATTAATCCTTCAAGAATATAATTATATCCTTAATTTTATTTGACAAACATGACAAACCTTCTGCACCAATCTAACACATGACACTATACTTACGAATGGAAATGCATTCTGATGAGATTGATAAATCACGAATATCCCCTCTCTATTTGATAGAATTACTTGTGTCTCCCTATCACAATGTATCATACACCAACAATCAATCGGACCACCATATCCTGAAAGTAACAATTGCAATAACAATGACAATGCAAGAAATATATAAGCACATCGTACTTACTAGGCATATCTGTAATTGGCCGAACTTTGGGATCAGACACATTGTTCACTAAATAAATACGATTAGTGGATGTCAAAACAGCTATCCCTGTGCTGTTTGAAGTTGTGAAGAACTTTGCATCGATAACTTTGGTGTCTTTGGCTACCTTGAAGAAAAAAATACATACATAGAGAGAAGTATTTCAGTAAGATAACAATTTACATGTAAAGTGGCTTACATCTCCCATACTAAAAGTATGTTGATAAGTTCCAAACATGTCATATATGAGAACATTGCCATCATCTTGCACACACAACAATTCTTCTTGCTGAGACCAACCCAATGCTATGAGTTGTCCGCTGCTCCACTAGATGAAGGAAAAAAGAATATTTTATTTGTAAATCTTTTATTTAATCTTTGTAGATTTTTTATTTTGTAGATCTTTTATTTTATTTATTTGTAGATCTTTTATTAAGTTAATATTAATTATTATTAATAATTGTCTTAATTATTGTCTCTTAATAATTTGGTATATATGCAAAAGAGGTATCATATTTTTAAATCTGTTACTAATTTAATTATTAATTATTATCTTAATTATTATCTTTTGATAATTTGATATATCTACAAAAATAACAATTTTTATGTAACAAAGTATGCAAACAAGGTTATAGGTATACAACCAAATGGAAAAAAGAAAAGGCCTACGAGCTTAATAATTTATATAATTATTGCATTATTATCACATTAATGTTACATAAATCATTCAAGCTCTTTCTGTGTCACTATACTAAAGCAAGGAAATCTTACTTGCAGCTTGGCTGTTAATTTCCCTGATGATGTGTACAGTAATATTACAGGCTTAGTAGCTCCTTGAACCTTGACAAATTTCTTGGGGTTTCTCGTAACAGCAATAGAACCCCCATAAGGGGCTGCTACAAGCCAATTATTGTTGGAAATTTCGTGTTGAAATGATAGCGGGTACAGCTCAAATTTGCTGTAATAAAAATTACATATAGCACCATTTCTTCCTATCATCTGGTACATAGCACATAGTAAACATAACCTTATAACAAAATCCGAAACAGTACATCTAGCTTAGCTGCCATAGAGAGAGAGAAAAGAAAGTCGTGTTTGTAGTTAAACTTTAAATTTTGAAATGCTATTTAATTAAGCAGAAAAGAAATTACTTTTTAGGAATATAGATAAGGAATTATGTGCTGCAAAGTCAGATAGTTTTCGGAGAAGATTAAAGGCATTAAGTGACAAGTCCGAACAAAGAAAAAAAATCTGAATTGCGGTACAATCTTCGGAAATTTACCGAAAATATATATCACGTCCTAGAGGAAACCAGTCGGCGGTTAACATCGCCGACATTTTGGTAAGCGAATACTTATCACAAATTACTCAAGATATTCAATGTTTGACAGCTACGTGAAGTTTACAGGTGACGAACGTGACACCCATTTTGAATTTCTCGAGCATGCGCAGCGTGTAATCGATTCGCTTTAAAGCGATTCTATCAATAGCACAAATAGATCGACGAAAGTCGATTCTCGCTTATCGCCGAACAATATGAACTCCCGAGAGCATATAAATATACAAGCATTATTTGTCCAAAACTTGACATTTCTTGTGAATAACGTTTGCAAAGCATTCATGGCGACTTCCGAACGACGCTCGGAAGATTCAAGACGCATTTAGGAACTTCTGAAAAATGCAGAGCGTGCAAAACGCAACGTTTTTCAGTAAACACCGAGTATCAGTAACACACATGCATAACATAAGCATGTCCCACGCAACAATGTAACTGTTAATAACCCAGATAGCAATTTAAAAAGAATTCAGTCGTATATCACCAATTCTGAGTTTATTTTTTGGTGCAAAAAGAATTCTTTTCACTGAACTGAACTCTGAAAAATTCTTTTTGCATCTGAAAATGAACTCAGAATTGATGACATACGACTGAATTCTTTTTGAATTTTTTTTTTTTTAATTCTCTGTGCTATCTGATGAACACACGATGACATATGACAGTTACATTATTGTGTGGGATATTATAACATCAACGTTATGTTACTGATACTTGGTGTTCATTGCATCTAACGTCTCAGAATTTCGTGATTCTACGAAGGCTAAGCCCGGAATCCGCGTTATACCACGTCCAATCACCGTCACCGAGTGCATCTAAATGCATCCAGACGAGAGCCGAGAGCGAAGGAACGTACACGTGTCCTCATATATTGTGCTGGTGTCATACCAGACGGCATACCGGCGCGCGGACGACCGGTTCGTTAGGCGGATGCGCTCCTCGAGAGAGCCGCGGCGCGCCAAGAGGAGAGTCAACGAGTCGGCGGCCGACGCGACAGTGAAAGGCCGATCGAAAACGTTCCTCTCGATTCACGCACGCGTATTCCCGACATTCATCGAGCGGATTAGCGCGCAGACAGTTTTAGTCGGACTCTCTTTTCATCTCTGATGCTATTTGACTCGCTTCGCTCGCTCCTTCTCTCACTTTACCTAGGGATGTGCGATTTTGTGATATATCGCAAGTTTTATCGCGTCTGCGATTCAAAATCGTGCCTGCAATTCAAAATCACTTGTCACTTTAATTAAGTAAATATCGCGCGACGATTTATAATATTTTATACTATTTAATTCAAACTTACACATTTAAAGGCATAATAGGATTATGCCATTGTAACAGCCTTAAAATATTAAGTTATATTATTTTTTTTATATATGACTTTTAATATATTTTTTATATATATTTCAAAAGATTACCAAAGATTACTACACTTAATATTGATTATTATTAATTTTTAATAAAAAGATAACAAAAAGATAGTTTTATTGTTTTATGAGAAAAATTCTGCCAGTAAACAATTATAATTAATTAAACAATAATACATCTTTATATATTGCATGTCTTAATAAGTAACTTAAAAAAAACATTTAGAAATTAATAATTCGGAAATAAACAAGTTTTGTAAAATGTTTCCCATTTTACCCCGCGTAGAAAGCGTAATAAAGTTAAGTAATGTTTTTAAAATAATATCATTTAACTTCCTTATGCTTTCATATTTATTTAGCGATTCTTTCACAAAACTTGTGTTTTTCTTATAGTGGACATTTCAAAGTATATTTTGATGCAGTGCGAAGAGAGAGTTGATTTATTTATTTTTAATATATTTAACATTTAAACATTAAGATTCCTATCATACCTCAAATTCTTTTATGATTAAAAATCGTGCACGATTCAAAACCATATTTGCGATACAAAATTGTAATGCGATATGTCATATTTATTGTGATTCTTAAAAAAGATCGAATCGCGATACACAATTTCATAAATTGCACATCCTTAGTTTTATCCCGCAGTGCTGCCTTTGGATATATTTTAAGGAGGTTCTAGAGTTTGATTAAATATAAAATAAATCTACCCTCAGTAAGCAAAGAACGTAAAGTTACTTTCGATCCAAATCAATCACAATTGTCATTTTATGGAAATTCTTTTAATTCAACGTATTTTACAAAAATTTTGAACATACATTTTCTTGTTTTTAACGATTTATTTTATTTATTTTATTATTAATTAGCAAAATGGCCGCGTCGAGAATGCAGAAACCTAATTTGATAGACACATTTTAATTACTGGATATATTTTAATTTTAGGTACGCGGTATCTATTTCTTTTCGCTACAACGAAGATTTTTATGTTTTGCGGCTTTGTCAATTTTTTCTATAGTTGCATTAGCGAATATAATGTTTGAGTGGTCGACTTTTAGAAAATGGATATAATTGCTCGAATTGAAATTTTGATCCTACTTTCAACTTCAATATTTCATTTAACGCCTACTTTGATACTCTGAAGTCTGTATCAATCTTTTTTCTAGTTGACCTACTAGCATTGTCGAGAGATGTTCCTCTATAGAATCTTTACAAGTGGCATTTTATGCGTTTTCTGCCATTTAAAGGAGCTAAGTAGGACTTCAATTCCTATGTATATTGATTCTTCAAAATACACAGATGTTAGAAAGTTTATGTCGAAAGTAGAGTCGAAATTTCGATTCGAGTATATGCCAATCATAAATAACTTTTACTGAACGGTTGTACAACTGTTGTGTTCGCTGAACGACTTTATGAAAGAAACTGCAATAACACGTTCCGACTAGAATATTCTGGTTCGAGCGCGTCATATTTACGTATCTTTTATCATGACTGTTGATTTTGAAAATAGCAACCTAATCACATTAAATATTATACAACAGCAATATACAATAGTAAACACTATATATATTACTGTTGTATTTAACGTGACTGAATTCTTCTCAAAATCAACAATGTAATACAATATTCAATCCACATACATACACACATAGCATAAAAATATTATATCAAGATTAAATTTAAGAAATTTTCCATCATGTTACTAAAGGTAGTAGCGATGTTATCATGACTTTAAAATGTTACTTTCCGGGATTTTTAATAAATCTTAAACCTGTATATTAATATAAAGTTTTCCTGGTTAATCCAAAATCGTCTTCTCAAATAATCAAACCTGCGTAAGTGAATTCTGAACAGAGCCTGCTACAAATTTTTTATGACAGAAAGGCAGTAAATTCAACATAGGATTTATTATATCTAATTATGTTGCCGCCAAAAATGTTGACAAGCAATCTGAGCAGATTGGCAGCAGAAACTGAATAGATTCTGCTGCGCAACGGGATCTGCGCGGTTTTTGCTAATCTGTTCTTATTACCTGTCAGCACACTTTGACGCCAAAACACGAACTGAATACGAACACAGATAGCTATAGTTTTGGTGTGGAATTCTGATCAAATTTGCTGCCAATCTGTGCGTACTCTGCTATTAATTTGCTTACTAGGTTGTGATTAAATTATTATTTCAATATTTATCAAAATATAATTACCTTACTATCCAAAACTAATATTTAATAGTATTAACACGTGAGAAATTTAATTCACTGAAATATTATAGCAACATTTTATAATAATATTTATAATAATATTATATAATATTATAATAGTATTTTATAATATTATAATAATATTTTATAATAATATTTATAATAGTATTTCACAAATAGCTTAAAAAAATATTCGTAAATTAGACTTCATAATTTTATATCAAAATAAATTAAAATTTTGAAAATAAAATTTTTATAAATGTTTAACAAGTTCGCTTCATTTACGCCACCCTGTACATACGATGTGCCTGAACCAAAATATTCTAACTACAAGTGAAACAAAGACATTATTAAAGTTTACTGTATGGTATGCGAAGATAAATGCATTAGATGGAGCCCGTGACGGAATTTCTTAATAGATGATTAATTTATATTTTAATGGATAACGATATCTCGTTTGAAAATCGTTTCACTCAAGTGAACCACGACACTCTTTTTAGATATCGAAATTTCCCGTTTTACAATAGACGCCGTTTTATTCAAACTAAAATGGCATTAGATTTTCTTGTATGTAATAGATACGCTGCCTGGAGATCGAGTATGATATAACTCATGATTTAATTCGCTTTCTTTCCGAGTATTATAAGTCAACAAGTTGATAATGTAAGTGATCGGCAACAAGATATCCAGTAAATACTCCAGTAATCACAGATATTCCTGAAATATTCCACTCATATTTCAAAAGTTCTATATACATATAACAATAGTTCTAAAGAAATAGTTGATTTTACTGATTAAGGGCGCTTCGAGAACTTAGCATACCTTTTTTTAAAAGTCTGTATTTTTGTATTTAATGGTCGGAATTATATAAAATTTTTGCAAAGAGCTCTAGAACTTTTCAAGAAAGTATCAAAACTTTAAAAAAAATGTCACATTTTTAAATATGGTGTGCCAAGTCTTGGCACACCATATTCAAAAATGTGACATTTTTTTTGCAGTTCTGATACTCTCTTGAAAAGTTCTAGAGCTCTTTGCAACAATTTTCAAT